ACACAGCAGCTCTCCTGGTCGCCCTTCTCAGAGTCTCTGCTTCTCTCGTGGTATTTTCTTACTTCCTCTTCCTCTGCCAACAGATTTGTTTCACTGCCATGATTCCCTCTTCCTTATAACTTCAGTTGACTACTACCCTTGGCTTGCCCATGGTCCTTTGTGGCCTGCTTCTACCTTTACACCTGTCGGGGAAGACTTCTGGCTTCAGTGTCCACTCCTACCTCCTTGCCTCTCCCCACACCTCCCAACCCAAGTCTGAAGGGCGAGGCTCTGGTTGGCCCAGCACGCCCTTCTCTGGGCACAGCTCAGAGGTCACTGTCCAGCTTACGGCCCAGCTACACTTGGTCATCTCTGGTAGGATGTGATGGGCAAATGCAAAACTGCAATGGAGTCATCATTTCTTGAACGCCTATTATGCTGTCTTACATGGATAGTGAGTGCCTGCAGAAGGTACAGAGGAACGTCCTTAAGTTTCGATAGGGGAATTTTTGAAAAGATACTCATTATGTCCTTACATCCACCCCACACCCCTAGAAATGAAGTTAATACCAACACTGATCTCCCAACTCACACCAGGACTCTTTTTTTTTTTTGAGACAGAGTCTCACTTTGTTGTCCAGGCTAGAGTGAGTGCCGTGGTGTCAGCCTAGCTCACAGCAACCTCAAACTCCTGGGCTCGAGCGATCCTTCTGCCTCAGCCTCCCCAGTAGCTGGGACTACAGGCATGCGCCACCATGCCTGGCTAATTTTTTATATACATATCAGTTGGCCAATTAATTTCTTTCTATTTATAGTAGAGACGGGGTCTCGCTCTTGCTCAAGCTGGTTTTGAACTCCTGACCTTGAGCAATCTGCCCGCCTCGGCCTCCCAGAGAGCTAGGATTACAGGTGTGAGCCACCACGCCCGGCCACACACCAGGACTCTTGAGTCTCTATGACAGCGGCCACTCAGGGCCTTCCTACTTGGCTTCCTAGTCTGAGGTGTCTTCTTCACGTGCCCCCACGCTGTAGATGTCCACCAGGCTCACCTGGAACAAGTCAGTGTCGTCTTTGCTCGTGGGGCTTCCTCCCATGGCCGATTCTCCATGAACTTCAAAGACAAGCTCAATCCTTATATTAGTGTCTTAAGGTTTCCACAACAAATAACCACAAATATGGTGGCTTGAAACAACACAAATTTATTTTCTTACAGTTCTGGAAGTCAGAAGGCCCAATCAAGGTGTCGGCAGGGCAGTGTTTCTTCTAGAGGCTCTTGGGAAGAAACTTCCTTGTCTCTTTTCCCTTTCTGGTGGCTCCAGGCACCCCTGGCTTGTGGTTTCATGACTCCAATCTCTGCCACTGTCATCATGAGGCCTTCTCTGTGTATTGTCTTATCTTATTCTAAGGACACTTGTCATTGGACTTAGGTGCCACCCAGGTAATTTCATTCTCAAGATCCTTAATTACTTTGGCAGAACCTTTTTCCAAATAAGGTCACATTTACAGGTTTCAGGGTGTAGGAGGTAGACATATCTTTTTTGGGGCCCACTATTTAACCCATTACAGTCCTCAATCCATTTGAAGACTGTCCCCTAGAACTTTTTTGCTTCTGAGCTCCCATGTCCTTTTTTCAAGTATCTTAAGGCACTTTTGAACTTCTGACCTAGAGCAATCCGCCCGCCTCGGCCTCCCAGAGTGCTAGGATTACAGGCGTGAGCCACCACGCCCGGCCCACTTTTGACATTCTGTTATGCAGTGTGGGTACTTTGGCACTAGTGCTGAGAGTGTAGATTACAGAATTAGATGTCCTGGGTTCACGTCCCAGTGTAGCCACTTGCCAGCTGAACGATACTGGCCAGTCATGTAACTCCTCTTGCCAGGGTCAGGACACAGTGGGGTGCCTAGGACACAGAGTTTAAGAGAGCACTTGTTCTCAGGACCGCAAATGCAGGGGCAGCCTTCTCACCGCCCTACAAGTAAGATTTTCATGAGCTTTCTTATGCTTTGTGCTTTAGGCCTCTCTCAACTTAACCTAGTCCCTGTCCTGCCTCTTGTCCTGGTTCTCTAATTTGTAAAGTGGGGATAAGGACCTCCTTGATAGAGAAATTCTAAGAATCAAATGAGTAACACAAGTAAAAGATTTAGCACAGTGCACATCACATAGTAAGGGCTCAATAAATGATAGCAGTTGTTTCTCTGATTAGATAGTACACTCCTGAAGAGTTGGTCTTCATGTCTAATTCATTTTTATATTCCTAATAGCCTTAAATTGTCAAAACTTGGAAGCACCTGAGCTCTGTTTCAGGAGATGCATGGATAAAATGTGATATATCCAGGCAATGGAATACTATTCAGCACTAAAAAGAAATGAGCTGTCAAGCCATGAAAAGGCATGGAAGAAGCTTAAATCCATATTACTCAGTGAAAGAAGCCAATCTGAAAAGGCTACATACTATGTATGTGATAACATATGACGTTCTGGAAAAGGCAAAACTTTGGAGACTGAAAAGATCAGTGGTTGTCAGGAGTTGAGGGGAGAGACAAGTGTACCTGCCATTCCACACTTGTCCAAATCCACAGAATGCAGAATCTAGAAGAGTAAACCCTAATGTACACTAGGGACTTTGGGCGGTTATGTGTCAATGCGGGTTCATCGATTGTAACAATGCGCCCCTCTGGTGGGGGATGTTCATGGGGAAGCTGTGCGTGTGTTGGGGTGGCAGGTAGATGGGGGCTGTCTGTACCTTCTGCTCAAGTTCGCTGTGAACCTAAAACTGCTCTAAAAAATAAAGTCTATTTTAAAAAAACAAAAACCCAAACGCATTACATTGAAAATAGTAGGTGATCAACTATGTTTGGGTGAATTAATGAACATTTGCTAAGTTTGAGGCATGTGGTAATTGGCTTACTCGTCTATAATTAGGCAAACAACCCAAGCTTTGAGTCCCCGGATCAAGAGTTCTTGTGCTGATTCATCTCCTTGTTCGTGTCTAGTGTTTAGAAGGTTTAGGTCAGGTGCTTTGGAGAGAAGAAGTAGAGCCCAAGCCTCAGAACATTTCTGAGGTTGGTTTTCAAATTAGAACCATGAAGAAAAGGCTCTGAAAGTGGGATGCGTGCACGCTGGGAGGACTGGCTCACGTCTGGAGAGCGGCAGCTCAAATGTGCAAAGTGGCTTTGGTGCATGCATGCCTGTCCCGTCAGGAAAGGATGGGCTCCTTCTTGGTTACGCACTTGCCAGCTCCCTGGGGAGGAGATTCTTTCCCGGAACATGGAGACTATCTTACATCTTGCCTGGAATTTCATGAAACTCTTGGCAGTGCCTGGGCCTGGCTGGGTGCACCCCGAAACCCCACCATTTATTTGATATCAGGATCGATATTCCTCTTTTACATTGTGGTTGGGACTCATTAACTCTCAATAAGAGAGTCAACATTAATAAGTTAAGTTAATAAGAGAGTCAACATTAAAAGAGGAGTTTCCTCCCTCTCTAGCAAAAAAAAAAAAAAGTTTGCTTGGATGGGCCACAGATCCTGCAACTGATTTGCTCTCCTGGCACAGGACGGCATGCTGTGTGGTACCCTGAGGCTGGTGAGAAAGGGAACACACTCAAGAATTCCTGGGTGGGAAGGCTCTTCCCTGCATTTACCACAATTGCTAAAACGCTACGTTTAATAGCCCAAGACTGGTCTATATTTGCATGGAAAATGTGTATGTGTGGAATTTCGTTTTATTTTTTTACTTCAAGATGGCCCTAATAAGAGCCAGACTGTTGATGAGTCTAATGATTAGAAGCAGCCTCTAAATTCCCCACACAATCATGTTGGGTTCAATTTTGAGATCTTGTTCTAATAGTTCAAAATGTGTGGTGTTTATCTAGCAACCTCACTAAAAGATTCCCATTCACTGGTGCCAAACACGTGCATTAGGTTTGCAGCTGCCCAGTTCAAGGACTGCCTCCGTAACCAGCTACGGGGGTTTAAGTAAAGCAGTCTGGAAGGGCGTTGGGAAGGTTCATTTTAGTAACTGCTATATTTATGTCCATCATATCACTATTAAATTGGCAGGCATGAGGCAGCCTTCAGTGTGGGTTAGCGTGTATAGTCACCATTCCTGGATGAGCTGTGTGCTTGGAAACAGGAGCACAGAGAGGGTTCTTGGCTTCAGGAACTTGGCTCAATGTTTCTATCCATCTGAGTCATGTCCACCATTGCACCTGCTTCCTCTGGAGCCAAACTTACACATTATCACCATTATTCTTTCATAGCACTGAAATTGCACTAATCTAGGCAATCTGCCTTTCTCCTTTCTTTCTCTTCCATAGAACAGAGTAACTGGGAGTGTGTGGGGTGTGGGAGAGGGTGAAGTATAGATCCTGGGTCACTGCTTAAGAAATCTTTTTATTGTATTTGTTTTCAAGTGATTCTGGTAATGAAAGTATTAGAGTTACAGGGCAAGCAAACATTTAAGCTGAAAGACAATCAGAGGGTAAAGGCCTCTGCTTTTAATCTACTACATGAAAGGTAATCGTTACTCATTTCCAAAGCCATTATCAACTTGCAGTGTGGGATTGGAGAGGCTCTTGTAAAATAGTTAGTGGTGTTCACAAAAGAACCACTGACTTCAACAGAGAGCAACGTGGATCCCAAGGATGAACTCATCACTTCCATTTATAACTTATTATAAGCAAAAAAATCCAAATGTGAATATCAAAACATGGCTCCACACTCCCATGGTATATGATTTGTCATGAACCATGAAGTGGCACTTTTGAAACCCTGGAATGCCCAAGCAATAGCAAAAGAGCTGCACAGCAAGGTCAGAAGATTCTAGACCAGGGGTTTGCAAACTGTAGCCCATGGACTGGCTGCCTGTTTTGTAAATAAAGTTTTATTGGGACACAGCCATGCTCATTTGTTTACATATTGTCTGTGGCTGCTAGCTATGACTATATGTGCTGCAATGACAGAGTTGAATAGTTGTGACAGACACTGTATGGACAACACAATCCCCCAAATATTTATTCTCTATGTCTTAACTAAAAAAGTTTGCCAAGCCCTGGTTTAGACAAATAGTCAGATGAGCCAAGTGTTAGCTAAAGATCCCTAAATCACAATGCCAAGAGAAGGCCCAGCTTGGCTTTAGTTGTTGTCATGCACTATGTAATTTAAAAAATCTTACAGGCCAGTACAACTAAAATTGCTATTCACCTTGCTTTAGAGCAGCAATATAGAAAGCAAAAGTAGGTCTGAATATATTTTATATGTTACCCGGACTTCTAAAGCATTGCTGGATTGCTAAAATGTGCATAAGTCAATGTCATTTCTCAAAACTTTTAATAGATGAAATGTTGGCAGCCACTAAAGTTCCTGCATTATGATTACGTCTGTGCAAAATTCTTCAGTGCTCAAAACCATGCACTGTAGCTATACATGCAGTCCCCCTTGAAGCAAAACTCTTCAGTCTATTGTTTTCCCAATCTCTGAAACCAGTTTTAAAAGTCACCAGAAGTCTGTTGTTTAAGGCACCACACACATTTCTTAGCTGAGCTTCCAGTGCCAACATGGGGGACCAACTCAGTAAAACATGCCATAAATTATGTGACTGTTTTATCTGAATGAATGTGACATTTTCCACAATGGCAGGAATTGTTATCAGGAGTTTAGGAGCCAGACGTGGACTCCGGGTTATTTTTCATACATTGAGGATGAATTCGAAGCTCTCTCCCTTGCATCCTGTCTGTTCAGGATTGTAGGTTATGACAAAGAACAAAGCTAAAAGACCTGAAGCTGTTAAAATTACAGTCTCAATAGCTCTGAGTTAACTTACACAAACACAAGACAATCGGCTGGAATAATATTGGATGGACACGTCAGAAGTGATCTGAAGTTTTGAAATGTCATTAAGGATAGGGCTTATTATTTGATGTTGGTTACAGTGAAGGCTACCTCTTTCCTTCTCATTTAAATATAAGGTAGATCATAAATAACAGACATTATTATGGATTCCACCTGCAAATGTATCTTAGTAGATATGTAACTAATTGCAGCAGAAATGCCATTTGGGGCATTTCGGGAACACCTGGGCTTCCCTCTGAGGCTCAGGTCTGGCCACTTGGCTGTGTTCTCTGTGCATATTTAAATTGCTGAGATCCAGCTCTCTAACCATAACCTTCCTTTTACCTAGAAGAATTCACAAAGCTTCAGATAATGAATTACGGAGGAAATGGTGTGCAGTGAAACCTATCACTAAGAATTTAAATATGATTTTTGAGACTTGTGTTGAGAGTAAAGACACATAAACTCACTTGATAAATTATAAGATCTATAACAAATAAAGGCATAGGATATGAAGTTTTTCTTCAGTCTCAATTCAAGTATAATAGAATCATACAGCTGAAGAAAACATCACTATTCTATATTTTTATTAAAAAATAAACATTGGCCTTAATGCTTTTTTTCTCCCGAATGCTTCATGAATTTATGTGTCATCCTTGTGCAGGGGCCATGCTAATTTTCTCTGCATGGTTCCAGTTTTAGTATATATGCTGCTGAAGGGAACACAGTCCTAATTCTCATATTTTCTCTTTCTTACACTTAAAAAAGTCCACCAGCCAAGGGCTTTTAGTTTTGGTATACACCATCATAGAAATGCCATTTATAAATTTTAAAGAAACTCTTAATTTTCAAAGATGGATTTTAATAGCACGAGTTTTTAGAAAAGATGACTTGCCATTCTAATTTAGGACTAGAGAGGTGAGACTTTTATGGGGAGGCTCATAAAAGTTGTCCTAGAAAAAACAAATGAGTGTTCTCAAACCTTTCTTTCAGGAGTGAGGCTGCGGGGCTAAAGTGTCTCTTTAAAGCCATGCAACCACAGCCACGTGGGAGAAGCAGCCTATGTGTTCTGTGACCAAATCGCGAATGTATGTTTTTGTGCAACATTCCTGCTTGAGCAGCCAGGCTCTAATTAAGATCTAGCTGGTGAAACGATCACTAGGGAGAGGTCCAGGGTGTGGGGGCACACTTCAGATTACATTCCATGACAGCATTAGACTGTCAAAGCTTAGGAAGGCCTGATTGTCCATAGACATCGCGGTGGGGTGGGGTGGGGGGGAGGAGGACCGAAAGGAATGCTAGCGCATGTCAGCATAAAATAGCTGCTGACACAAATTGAACATGTGCAATTTTTTAAAGAGGTGGTATCGAGTAACAGGCCAACAGCCATCCCTCTCGGCATTTTAAACCTCTTTCTTCTCTCCACTTGGGCTCTTTGTTGAGTTGCTTCCATCAGGCAAGGTTCCATAGGATAAGCTATTTGAATCTGGTTGTATTTTGTCCAACATTTGTTTCCCTGTGGAGATAATAATCGTAAAAATCTTTTGAGGTCTTATAGAGGAATAAGTCTTAATAATTTCTCTTTAATCTAGGCCACATTTAATTCCTTATTATTATTTTTTTTAATGTTCTGTGGTCACCCCCTAAACAGAGGAGATAAATGTCAAGGAAGCAAAGGCCAGCAGAACCACATGTCACTAGCTTGCTATGTGATCGTGCCCTGTCCCCATGAGAGCTGCCTCCCTGACCCTGCAGGATCTACATACTGGGCATGGAAATCAGGTTGGTTGCATGAAGCATTCACTCATCTCTAAATGTTTCTCCCCAGGGTCTGTCTTCCTTTCCATGTTTAATTTAATGTATATAACAATGTAGAAAAATAGCCTTTAATAGTGGCTTTTCAAGCTTATACCGAGCCTATGTATGGGGCTTTGTGAAATGGAAAATGGAATTAAAAATAATTAAACTGTATTTCCTACCAAAGAACCTCTCACTGTACAAGTCACCTCTCATGCATTCCCTTGCCGTGAACGCCAATGCTTGCACTGAACTCCTGGCTGATGAGATGGCTAAATGGCAAAGAGGACACGGAATTCATTGCAGAGGGCCATGTTCCGCAGTCTTAGGGATGAGGTTTTACTAGTTTTTGCTTCAAAGGCGTGGTGCTAACAGAATGGTAGAGGTAGCTGTGAGAGTATCTGCATGCCTGTCTGGAAACTGATAGGTCTCCCTGAACCTCCAGGTAAGCTGGAGGCTGCTGGGGGTGGGGTGGGCAAAAGAGGAGGTGAGGACACAGCAGACTGTGTCTTTTGTTCTGGACTTCACTTTTGTTGTCTAGATGACTAAGCAGGTCATTTCCCAGTGAGAGTGAAACGGGAAAGATGTTGTGTGTTAGCTCAACTTGGATGAGTGTGGTGAGGAGGAGGGGAAGGAGCTACTCGTGTCCTGGTGACTGTGATGGATGTCACTTTTGGTACCACTGTGCGCAAGCCACCTCAGTCTCTCCAGGAATGATGTCCCTTAGCTGCCTGGCCCTCATCCTTAGATGTTCCTTCAAAGGCTCTCCAAGCGCAGTGGTCTGCTGTTGGTAGCCATTCCTACTCTTTTCTTTACCCTTTTCCAATTTAAGGAAACCCACAATGGGAATCCTTCAGATCACCCAAATCAAGAAAACATGGTCAGTTCTTTTATACCCCCAGTGTTCTATGCAAAACTGAAATTCAACAAGTCATTATTAACATTTACACCTAAAACTCCACCTTAGGTAGGTTTCATCATTGAATGTACATTTTTTTGAGGGTAAGAATTATGTTTTGTAATAACTTACCACTCAAAATAATGCCAACAATTATTAATTTGTGAGGATAAAATTTTCTATTATAAAGAATATATAATTTTACCAGGAATATTTCCAAAATCAATATAAGACTGCTGCAGATGTTCCTTTTCTCGATTTCTTGTGACCAAAAACACTCCAAGAAATGACAGAAAACACCTGTAAGAATAATATTAATAAGCAACACAAGAACACTGAAACAGCTCATGATATTAAATAACTGAGCTCCATCTTCTACATGATGACATAAATTCCATTAGTTATGTTCATCTGGTTTCTCATGGTAAGCTGCCTAGAAATTTTCTTAATTGTTACAGCCAATAATATTTGTACCCAGAACCAAGACCTAGGCAGTTTCCAATAAATCTCTGCCCCAGGTTTTTACCATCTGGGGGATAATTCAAGCTACAAACCCTTTGAGTAGACACTAGGTCTCATGTTCTATCCACGCATACCCAGACCCATTACTGTCATGCAACACAAGTGAAAAGATAATTTATTTTTTAATTTTCTAAGAAATCTAGTTGTCCTTGGCCATAAGAGCAGTCATAGTTTCCAGGCCCGGCCCCTGAAGTTTGGCCTCGCCCAAGTATTTTACGAAATTCAATTTTTGAGATAGATGGTTTCCTATGCTGAAAATAGTCTAGGTTCAAGTTTGCGTAACAATGGTGATGCTGAATACCAGATCAAGAAGCAGCTAAGCTTTAATGGTGTCCACTTGGAGTTGATGGGAACTCTTGTGCATTGGCAATACGTTGTCAAAGTTCTGCTCTCTGTTTGTGAGCAATGCTGGCAATGATGCCCACCAAATCTCCAAGGAGAGTTCACGCTGCACACTCTGACACAAGAAAGGGATGCCACCACCTTGATGTTATCAAGTCCAAAGCAAGGGATCTGCTCATCATGGTCTGTTATTAGATTCTAAGTGACCCTAGGTGCATTGTGGTTCTCTAATTGAGATCTAATCTAGAGGTTCCCAAGGGTGAGGTAGGTCTGATATGGCACAAAAAGGCTGTGAAGTTACTACAAGGGCCAGTGGATCTATCGTGACTTTGGCTGGAACTGAAAATCTCCAGTGTTTCAGAACCCTCAGAGGGGTACCTAAATCACAAAGCCAAAGAGACTGAGCCCTGGGTGGGGTGTTAAGTAAAAAAGTATGTTTCTTTTAAGAGCTCAGGAAGCTGATGGTTCTTATACTACTTCCCAATTTTCTATACCTCAGGTAAAATGACAAAAATCCCATATAGAAGTAATAAAATTTTACATACCTACCTCTGAGACATTTACTCACCCAAAAAGATATATAAATATGGTGAGAAAAGCGGCACCAAAGAATTCCTGATAAAATATGATACCTGTAGCAGGAATAGAATACAAAATGATTTTTGAGATAAGAATATTTATAATAGCTATACATTGTTCTTAAAATTATGTTAATATACTATTTTTTTCTAAGTATAGTTAGCCTTAAAATGAATATTTTTCAGTTTGGTTTGAAAAATATTGCATAGCATACTTCCATTTTAAGTTATTCCAAAAAGGACAAAGATGTGTAGATCTTATATAGTAAAATTATCATTATTATAAAATCGACATAATTAACATACCTTTTGCAAACAGAAATTTCTTATCCAGTCCAGGATTGCCCCACTGGCACATGCAAGAAAACAGAACTCTAGCAACCGTTTCCCACCTACAGCTTTAGGGTGGAGTCAGCAAGCCCGGCCTGAGAGTCTGCATGGACTTGGGGGGCCTTTGACGTGGAAGCCACCCCAGCCCAGCTGCTGCTGCCCATCCTGTTACTTTTGGCGATGGCCTGTGGTCTGTTGGTCCAGCCACATGCTGACTCAGGCACTGTAGGACAATCCAGCAACTGAAGTGCTGCCTCAGCTCTGCTCCCTACTGCCATGGTTCCTTCTCATGTCCTAGTATTGCCTTCTGGGTGAAGCAAACAAAAGGATGCATCGTCTACTTTGGTGAGCTTTTCTTCTCTCCCTGTTGGTCTCAATGATGTCTTTTTGGTCTAAAGTCCCAAAGCTTTCATAGAGTTTTTATGAGATAAGATACCTTTACGTTATGTATCGCCTGGAATTAAATTGTGTGTGTGTGTGTGTGTGGTGTTAGCCTTTCCAGTCAGCCAACAAATACTTATTGAGCATCTCCTGCGTGCCAGCCACTGCTCTAGGTATGGGAGATACCGCCATGAATGAGACCAGAGTCCTGTCTGCAAGGAGCTTTCTCAATCTTAATCTTAATCTTATCTTCTTACAGGAAAAAACATTTTCCATGTTATTACATACTTCCTTGTAATCATTTTAATGTTATCATGTTATTCTATGTTAATGCCTCATAATATTCATTTCTCCTAGGGCATTTCAAGTTGTTTCTAAATTTTTTTTTTTTCTTAAATAAAGCAGCGATGAACTTCGATACAGGCACACCTTGGCAATGCTGTGGCTTTGGTTCCAGACCACTATAATAAAGCGAGTCACAGCAGTTTTTTTGGTTTCTGAGTGCATACAAAAGTTATGTTTACACTATACTGTAGTCTATTAAGTGTGCAATAGTATTATGTCTAAAAAATACTGTACATACATTAATGAAAAATATTTTATTGCTAAAAAATGCTAGTGATCACCTGAGCCTGCAGTGAGTCATAATGTTTTTACTGGTTGAGGTTTTGCCTTGATGTTGATGGCTGCTGACTGATCAGGGTGGTGGCTGCTGAAGGTTGAGGTGGCTTTGGCAATTTGTTAAGACAATAAAGTTTGCCACATCGATTGCCTCTTCTTTTCACAAAAGATTTCTTTGTGGCATGAGATGCTGTTTGATAGCATGTTTACACACAGTAGAACAACTTTCAAAATTGGAGTCAACCCTCTCAAACCCTGCCACTGCTTTATCAGCTAAGTTTATGGAATATTCTAAATCCTTTGTTGTCATCTCAACACCATTCACAACATCTTCATCAGGAGTAGATTCTATCTCAGGAAACCACTTTCTTTACTTATCCATAAAAAGCAGCTCCTCATCCATTTAAGTTTTATCATGAGATTGTAGCAATTCAGTCACATTTTCAGGCTCCACTTCTAATTCTCATCCTCTTGCTATTTCCACCACATCTGCAGTTACTTTCTGCACTGAAGTCTTGACCCCTCAAAGTCATCCATAAGGGTTAGAATAAACTTCTTCCAAACTCCTGTTAATGTGGATATTTTCACATTCTCCCATGAATCATGAGTGGTGAATCCTTTCCAGAAGGTTTTTGATTTACTTTACCCAGATCCATCACAGGAATCACTATCTATGGCAGTTATAGCCTTGTGGAACGTGTTTCTTAAATAATAAGACTTGAAAGTCAAAATTACTCCTTGATTCATGGGCTAACAGAATGAATTTTACGTTAATAGGCATAAAAACAACACTAAACTCCTTGTATATCTTTATCAGAGCTCTTGGGTGCCCAGGGGCATTGTCAATGAGCACGGATATTTTGAAGGGAATCTTTATTCTAAGCAGTAGGTCCCACCAGTGGGTTTAAAATATTCAGTAACCCATGCTGTAAACAGATGTGCTGTCACCCAAGATTTGTTGTTCCATTTCTAGAGCATAGGCAGAGTAGATATTTAGCATAATTCTTAAAGGCCTAGGATTTTCAGAATGGAAAATGAACACTGCTTTCAACTTAAGGCACTAGCGTTAGCCCCTAACAAGAGAGTCAGTCTGTCCTTTGAAGCCACACACTGAAGTCTACTCTTTGGCTATGAAAGCCCTGGATGGCATCTCCTTCTATAAGAAGGCCGTTTTATCTACATTGAAAACCTCTTCAGTGTAGCCACTTTCATCAGTGATCTTAGCTAGATCTTCTGGATAACTTGCTGCAGCTTCGATATTAGCACTTGCTGCTTCACCTTGCACTACTCTGTTAGAGAGATGGCTTCTTTCCTTAAACCTCATGAACCACCCTCTGCTAGCTTCAAACTCTTCTGTAGCTTCCTCATCTCTTTCAGCCTTCTTAGAATTGAAAAGAGTTAGAGTCTTGTTCTGGGTTAGGTTTTGGCTCAAGGGAATGTTTTGACTGATTTGATCTTCTCTCCAGACCACTAAAACTTTCTCTTATCATTCATGTGTTCACTGGAGTGGTCCTTTTAACTTTTTTCAAGATCTTTTCTTTTGCACCCACAGCTTAACTAACTGGCACAAGAGACCTAGCTTTCAGCCTATCTCAGATTTTGACAATCCTTTTGACAATCTCACGAAGCTTAATCACTTCTAGCTTTCGATTTAAATTGAGAGTTGTGTGACTCTTCTTTTTTCCTGAATACTTAGAGGCCATTGTAAGGTTATTAATTGGCCTAATTTTAATATTGTCGTGTCTCAGGGAATAGGGAGGCCCAAGGAGAGGGAGAGAGATGAGGAAACAGCTGGTTGGTGGAGCAGTCAGAACACACACACTTATCCATCAAAGTTTGCCATTTTATATGGGCAAGGTTCATGGTGTCCCAAAACAATTATATTGGTAACATCAAAAAGCACTTATTATAGATCACCATAATAGATATAATAATAATGACAATTTTGAAATATTGTGAGAATTATCAAAATGACACAGAGCACAAAGTGAGCATGCGCTGTTGGAAAAATGATGTCAACAGACTTGCTCAATGCAGGGTTGCTACAAACCTTCAATTTGTAAAAAACAATGCAAAGCACAATAAAAAGAGGCATGCCTCACCAACATATTTTATCCCAGCATTTTAGTATTTTTGTTGTCATTAGAATGTGTTTCTAGAAGTGAAAATTCTAGAAACATTTTTTCTTTTTAAAAAAAATTGTAGTAAAATATACATAACATAAAACTTACCATCTTAACTCTTTTTAAGTGTACAGTTCAGTAGTATTAAGTATATTCACATTGTTGTGCAACCAATTTCCCAAACTTTTTCCATCTTGAAAAACTGAAATTCTATTCCCATTATATAACTCTCCATTTCCCCAGCCACTTTTTATCTCATTAAATTTGACCGCTCTAGATATCTCATATAAGTAGAATCATACAATATTTGTCTTTTTGTTCCTGGCTTATTTCACTTAGCATAACGTCCTCAAGGTTCATCCATATTGTACCATGTGTTAGAACTTCTTTCATTTTGAAGGCCATATAATATTCCATTGTATGCATATGCCACATTTTGTTTATCCATTCATCTGTCAACAAACATGTGCATTGCTTCCACCTTTTGGCTATTGTGAATAATGCTGCTATGAACATGGGTACACAAATATCTTTTTAAGACCCTGCTTTCAATTCTTTTGGCTATATGCCTAGAAGTGGAATAACTGGATCATATAGTAATTATATTTTTAATATTTTTGAGGAACTGCTATACTGTTTTCCATAATGGCTACACCACTTTACATTCCCACCAACAGCGTATAGGGGTTACAGTTCTCTACCTCTTCACCACCACTTGTAATTTTCTGTTATTAAGAGCAGCCATTCTTCTTGGTGTGTGGTGATATCCCATGGTGGTTTTGATTTGCTTTTCCCTCATGATTAGCGATGTCGGACATCTTTTCACATGCTTGGTGGCCATTTTGTGTGTCTTCCTTGCAGAAACAGCTATTTGAGTCCTTCACCCACTTTAAAAATCAGGTCGTTTGCTTTTTTGTTGTTGATTTGCAGAATCAAAGAGTGAAAACGTTTTTAAGGCTCTTGATAAAAACTATAAAACTCACTTCTAGGATCGTGGTAACCCACTAACCAGCCCATGAGAGTGCCTGTGATACTGCAGCCTTACCGACATTGGCTATGGCAATAAAAAGCACAAATAAAAACTTGACTCATTTAGTAGGCAAAATATGGTGTCTCTTTTTAACTTTAAGCTATACTGTTTCATGGAGGCAGAGAGAAGTTAGTCAAGAAGCTTCACTCCACTCCACGTGCCAGTGACATCAGAGGAACTGTTATGACTCCCGGGATGTCCCAGCCTCCCTGACTCACAGTCACTCTGTATGGTGAGTATTAAGACCCAGCCCTGTTGTCCTCCTAGAAAATCTTCTACTCAGAGCAACTATGTTCTTTACACATCTTTATACTTATTAATATTAACTATCAGGCTGTATGTTGTTCCTATAATTCTTTATGCCTTCTTTTCCTTTTCCGGTCACTCTAGGACACAGCAATATGCAGTCTTCTCTCATTTTCTTTTAAGAATAAGCATAAAATACTAAAAAAAAAAATTAGATGTCATGGGATATAATCTTTTTCTTGAAATATAAGTTTTAATTTGGGGAAAAAGGAAATGCATTAATTACTTTTAAAAATTGCCCACTGATAGTCACATTGTTTTCCAAGAAATAACAAAGATGTGCCAATTAGGAAACAGATAATTCCTAATTCACCTCCAAAATACGTAAACTTTACATTGAGAAATGAACTCCCAAGACAAGGAGGTGGTAAATACATCAAATAAACCAATGAACTAGGGCAAACCAGTACCAAATTTAGAAATGATATACTTGAATCTACTGTATTTGGTTTGGACCAAGTTACAAATTTATATGTTTTGTTTTAATGCTACCATATCTGTCACATTTCAAAAAAATTGTCCATAAAAATAAAAGAACTGCAACAGTAGAAAAATAGAAGCCAGAACAGCAAAGGTTTCTACTCTCATCTGTCAGGACTTCCCTGCAACACTCAGTTTGGTTTTGGAGCCCACTCTCTGATCGAGCTGGTGGGCGTATAGGAGGAGTTAATGGAATTGGGGATGTTTGGCCCCGAGAGAAGACTCACGAGGACCTTTCAGTTGCTTTGATGATCAGAAGGGCTGGCAAGGGAAAGACTCAAGCTGAGCTAAGATGAGTGTCTTGAATTCACAAGGAAACTAATTGTAGTTCCAATACAAGGAAACACTTTCTAATAATTAGAACTCTCCAAATAAAGAGGGTGATCCAAAACAGGACTGAGCTGACTCAGGAGGCAGAGAGCACTGGGGAGCATTCATACCTGTGCTGGAGGACGTCATGGAGGAAACTGAGACATGAGGCAGAGGCTAGGGGGTTACTGACCTTAAAACCTAAACATTCCTTGATTCTCTCATTTGCTTTGAGAGAAACTTCGTTTATACTTGGAATCACCTATGTATAGGAAACCAAAACTCACCTGCAATAATGGCACTGGTTGTAAAGAAAATATGGTTAACTGGCACCACCGTTGTTGTATTGTAGAGTTTCGTGGCTTGATTCAGGAACCTAGAGCAGAAGGCACTCACTGAAGCTCTGGCTTTAAGAGATCCTCAGCAATAAGTTAACAATAACTTCAAGCAATGCATGTTCCTTAGCTACAACTACAAAGGGAAAGGAAGTGCAGTGAAAGGGCATTTCCAATCAGCAGTCATAGCTTATATGCATCTGATGTATGAGATCAGATGTCAGGTTTTATGGTCTGTTTAAACCAACAACAGTAACAATGAAAAGCAATTAATCATATTCTGAGGCCACAGAAGTTTGAGTTGGAAGCGATTCAAGCTGCTGGACCAGTATCACACTAGGACTGATTCATTAGGATAGAACCTAGAATCTGTTAAATATCATATCTGGGGAATAGTATAGCTATCCATTGACATGCCACGTGCCAAGAAAGAAGATGGAGAAGTAAAGGAATGTTTAATGTTTCAAAAACAATGCTCAGTACTCCAGCTGCAGCGCACATGTGGGAGCTCAGCTTCTCACTCTGGCCACCAACATAAATTCAACTGTGCTGTGCTGCCCTGGCAGGGACTAGACTGTTTTCCAAAGCAGTGTATTGCACTGATACCACCTGGGCACTTTTAAAAAAAGGCAATAATGCCTAGGTATTATTCTAGAGCAATTGAAAAAAAAAATCTTTCCAGCTTTCAGATATTACAAATAAAGATTTCATGTATATTCATGTAAAAAAAAATCATTGTGGGTAGAGCCCAGGAGTGTGTACGTGTGTGTGTGTGTGTGTACAATACATACATGTACATAGGTATACATGAATGTATGTATACATGTATACAAACAAACCTCTTCAGGTAATTTTTTTGTTTGTTTTTTTTGAGACAGAATCTTAACTCTGTTGCCTGGGCTAGAGTGCCGTGGCATCAGCCTAGCTCACGGCAACCTCAAACTCCTGGGCTCAAGCAATCTTTTTGCCTCAGCCTCCCGAGTAGCTGGGACTACAGGCATGCGCCATCATGCCTGGCTAATTTTTTCTATATATATTTTTAGTTGGCCAATTAATTTCTTTCTATTTTTAGTACAGACGGGATCTCGCTCTTGCTCAGGCTGGTTTCGAACTCCTGACCTTGAGTGATCCTCCCACCTTGGCCTCCCAGAGTGCTAGGATTACAGGTGTGAGCCACCGCGCCTACCCAACAAACCTCTTCAGGTAATTTTAATGGGCAACCAGGACTGAGAAGCACAGTTCTACAGTGCGCAATTTATCTTCAGTTGTGTCTGCCTTTCAATTTTATAAAGCATAGTACAAAGTCACTAAATCCCTGAAGATATTTTAGCAGTACTAATTAATCCAGAAGAAGAAAGGGAAGAAACAAGATAGCAAGATTCAAGTATAGAAACACATTCAGTCTTATAAGGAAATGACAAACAAAGCAGTGACAGAACCTTGGGTTTCTCTAGTAACTCTCCACAGACCTTGTGACAGGGCCTATACTCAGCCCATAACAATCGGACTTGACTTCTAGCACCTACAGAAGGAGCCACTCTGATTCTGAGTTTGAGCTCTGATTTCCTAGCTGGCACCACGATGGTGCCTTTGCATAGCATTCTGGGGTAAACAGAAAACTTTCAGGTCAACTCAAGAGAGCCTAAGCAGGCAAAAGCACAATTCTAGTATGAAATGGAGGGGAAGTGATTGGAGCAGATGGGAGGGGGAGGTAGGAGAGAAGAACAGAAATTAAAAATGTTCCATGTCACCACTACTAGGCCCCAAGAGAAACATAAAACAATCACTCTGCAATCCCATGGGTACAAAGAAAATTCTGGCCAAAGATGCAAAGTTCTGGGGAAAGGATTTCCCTCCAGGCCAAACGTCTGGTTTCGTCCATCTCTGGGCAATTAACAAGCATGAGCTAAGAAATGAAGGTGAAGGGTTCATGTATTTCCTATATTTAGAATGAAATCCTGGATGTGGACCTGCCCCTTTGATTTATTGCTAATGACAACCTGTGCATGATGGATATTAATTACAAGCAGAAGAGCATCAGGAAAGTATCAAAGTGCACTTAGCTGGATTAGGGCCACACTTTAGAACTCACAAGACTTGAAGGCAATGCTTAGTAAAACTTAACATTGGATGCAAAGGACAAAGCAAGGCATGCTGGCTGAGGATAAGCTGTAGGCCCTTCACCCTTAGCAATCAGTCGTATCTCACTGTAATTATTATCTGAAGCCAAAAAAGATTGATGCTCAGAGAGGCAGAGGAATGCTGAAAGCTTAGTGAGTATGCAGAAGCTAACTTACTTGACTTGGAAAACACAAGATGCTATCATGATGATAAACATGATATAGAAGATGGGATAAGTTAGTTGCATTTTATCCGTCATAGAAAAAGTGATCATGCCTGAGACGGCTTTGACTGAAATAACAGTCAATGAGGCTGGAAAAGAAAACAAAAAACACAAATAAAGTACATACTTGAGATAGAATCGCAAATAAATATCTTAAGTTTATGTGGTAGAGTAGCAAATATACCAATTATGCTTTGTGGGTAGACATGGCTGTGGGCGGTGTAGCGTAGGACGTGGCATTAACCAAGCAGTAGCCCCATGGCTCAAGCTCTGCTGGACTTTAAATGTACTTAAATCAGCTAAAGGTCTGTTGTGCAACTGGGTGCTTTTTATCTTTGAAGCAAGTTGCTCATTTTCCAGCCCTAACTATTGAAAGAATGCTAAGGAGGTTATAATTTCTGGTAGGGGGGAAAGGAGAAGACAATGGGGAAAGGAGATAAGAAAGGTCAGATTGTCCGTGTGACATTAAAATGACAAACTATACTGAATAATTTAAAACCAAATAGATGAGAAGACTGCAAAGTGAAAAGCAGCTCACTCCCTGAGTTTGCTAAGTGTTGTACAAAGTCTCCATGCACGAGCCTTTTTGTTAGTAGATGCCTAGAAGTTTCATTAAAAATACTTTTTGACAAAGACAATGACAGGAAGAAGCACTAGGGAGGGCTAAGTACTCATTGTTCAGAGTCAACGGAAAATCTGGGCTTTATATAAGCAATATCTGTTTATTTTCTATGCTAAAGAGGAACCTGTTCCTTAGGAGAACAAATTTTCCTTAGGTTCCAAATAACAATTAAGAAAAAGTAACTTGATAAGTTTATATCACTATGAAAGCAATGGAGCATTTTCTGGTAACAATCTGTTTCTGTAGGAAGAAGATAATGTTTTCTGTCTTACATCTCTTGAAGTAACTGTTGCAAATAATTCCATAATTTAGCTGAAACCTACACAAAGCTCAAAAATAATTTTTACATGAAATCAAATAATTATAAGTCAAAGGCAATGGGATGGAGAAATACTGTCTTTGTTGCCGTTGATCTACCTGGTCATCATATATCTGAGCTTTATTCCCTTTAGTGTTTGAAAAGGAATTTTATATATATAAATATTCTAAAGAATATGTTTAAAATAGCAGGTGATGGACAACCAGGAAGAGCCTCCCATAATTTCCTTTTCCAAAAACTGAAAATATACTTTAACTTGAAGGGTACTAAGGCACACGTCCAAATTGGGCATTTTCTTTCAGTTAAAACTTGTTAATTAACCAAGGAGACCAGATGATAAATTCTAAAAACAAACCCCCCATCTGAACAAAGAGGCCCTGACAATGAGGCCCCTCTCCATCTTAAAATATCTTTTGACCTGATCCTTTTACATATTTCCTAATGATTATGACAATAGTCATATCTTAGCTAATCCAGAAATTTTAAATAGCTATAGAGATCTGTGTGTCACTTGATGGTCTAAGTTTGTAGGTTAGCTCTTGAGGAACCTTAATTTCCTCCTAAAGACTTTGCCTGAAATTAGAGCACAATGTGGTTATGGTCTTGTGGTCTGAACAGCCAGGTTTCCCAAAGGGATAATTAATGGAGAAGGAGTTGATCGTACCATTCCATTAGCCTCGGAAACTCAGAATTGCAAAAGACCTCAAAGGTCATCTAATTTAACCACCATCTAATCTTAAATTACACTTAAATACAAAACTAGAATTTGTGATTAAACTGCTAAACAAACTATCAATATCTATAGTTAATCATTATGTCTTTAAAGCACACACAATTGTCAACTGCTTAATCACTATTTATTGTAACTCTGCAAGTTATTTGTAGGCTGGTGTCAAGTACTTCTAAGTTTTGTTTGGGAGGGGAGCTTACTAAGGACAGGTCGAAATGCAAAATTGTAATGCAGTATCATTTTAATGTTGCATACATATACATAGAAAGTACTTATGTATGCAAAGAAAAAAAGGCTAGAAGAAATGACATCAAGATATTGTCAGTGGTTATCTCTATCACTGGGATTATCAATAAACTCTAAATTCATTTAAAAAAATCTATAAAAGTATACATGTCCATTTAAAAAAGTTTGGAAAATGTAGAAAAGCCTGCAAAGGAAAATTAAAATCATCTGTAATCTCAACACTCACGCCCAAATAATTTTTAACTTTTGGGCACAGCGTTATTTTTCTATCTATAAGTATGAACAAATCACAACATGTAAATCATATAGTATTTACTACTTAGGAGCTTATCTTCTCATTTCTTATTCTAATGAGAACACTTCTAGTATTTCACCATCAAGTTCTTTGTTAGGAATGAATAGTAAACTTTAACATGGCTTTTCAACATCTATTGAGATTATTACACGATTTCCATTTTAAAGTGTTTTTCCAGCTTTATTGGGGTATCTTTGAAATATAAAGTTGTATAAATTTAAGGTATACAATGTGATGACTTGACATTTGTATATATTATAAAATTATTAGCACAATCAAGTTGGTTAACACATCTTTACCTCATGTAGTTATCATTTTTCTTGTGTGTGGTGAGAATATTTGATATCTACTCTCAGCAAATTTCAAATATATAATACAATAGTGTTAACTATTGTCACCATACTGTACATTAGATCCCCAGAACTTTTTAATCTTATAACTGAAAGTTTGTATCATTTGACCAATATCTCAATATTTCCCTTTTAACTCATTAACACGATGAAGTATATTAATGGATTTTTTAAAGAACCCTCCTTTCATTCCCATGATTAACTAGTTAATTAACTCAAATGTTTATTGTGTGCTTACCATGCTCAGTTCTAAGTAAAGTATATATATAGTGTGCCTAAGAGACATGATCTGTGTTCTCATGGAACTAATCTGGCAAGGAAGATGAGCTCATAATAACATATAAACATCTAAGCAGAATATGTAAGTATAAATTGTTATGAGTGTTACAAAGAAAAAGAATCAGTTTTATTAAGACCACTTGGTTGTTGAGTATGATTTGCTCTGGATTTTATTTGCTAATATTTTATTTGGGATTTTTGCATCAGTATTTAGTAGTAAAATTAGTTCATAGTGTTTTTCATTTGTTCTATCTTTTTCAGATTTGGGATCAGTATTATCTGATTATATTTTTTAAAAAAGCAAAAGCTTTCTTCTTATGTCCTCAAATAGTCCTAACAACATCAGAATAATCTATTCCTTAAGGGTTTGAAAACATTACATTTGGAACTGTCTAGGTCTGGTTCTTTTTTAGGATGTAGCTTTTAACATAAACACCTTCATTCCCTCCACAGTTACTTCCATTAAAAATAAGCAATTTATTCAAGTTTTCATATATATGAGTGTTTATAAATGGATATTTATCAATCAATCTATATCTCATTTCTTTTTTGAAGTATTTGTGATTTTTCTTTTGCTTTTTTTTCTGATAAGGAGAGGATGTATTTTATCAGTTGCCTTTTAAGAACTGATTCTTGGGTTTAGATATCAATCCATTACTTTTCTATTTCATTATTTTTTGCCTTTATAATTAAACGGTTTCTGCTTTCCCTTAGCTTTATTTCAGTTTTTTTCTAACTTCTTGAGTTGAGTGCTTAATTGACTTACATTTAAAACAATTAATTTTCTCTGAATACAGCATTAGTCATAAACTCCAGGTTTCCATATTAAGTGTTTTGATAATAATTAAAAAAAAATATGCTGCAATGAAATCGTGATTTCTACTTTATCCAGCTGTAGTTTAAGACTATTGTTAACATTTCCTGGTGGTAGAGATTTACTGGTTTTTATTTTTGTTATTATTTTTCTGTTTTTATTTCACTGTGCTCTGAGAATGTGTTCTGACCTATTTCAACTTCCTGGAATTTATCAAGAACTTCTTTAGGGCCAATTATGTGATCAACTTTTGTAAATGTTATACAGGCACTTGAAAGAAAGATTACTCTTTGTTTTTAGGATTTAGAGTTCAATATTAGAGGTACTAGTTCAAAATTAAGAATTCAGCTCTTCTGTCTTTACATATTTTTCTTCCATGAGCTGACAGAAGTCTTCACTTCCCTTGTATTTTTGTTAATGTAGTTTTGCATTTTCATGCAGGTTTTATATCACATATTAGATATGATATTCTTGTGGACTGTGCTCTTTTTATCAGAACAAATTACTCCCTTTTGTCTTATTTAATGCCTTCTGCCTTGACTTTAATTTCATAGTATCATTACCCCCTGCTTTCATTTACTTTCAATTTGAGTTACCTTGTTTTGGATAAAACTTACATATGTCGCCAAAACATTTCACAACCCACAAGGGCCAGAAAGGGTGTTGGCCCTACCACCACTTGAAGAGGGTCCTACAGGCCCCTTATATGAGTATTTATCGTGGCAGGGCTGGAGTTGGGAGGAGAAGACATGAGGGAAGGAGGCCCTAAGGAGGCTTGGGTGGCAGCTATTTTAATAACTACTAGAGCTGTACTAGGGCCAGTTGGCTGAATCCAGTTTCAAAATCGTTTTTCAAAATCAACCTGGAAGTTTCTCTGAAGTCCAATTTGAGAATCTTTTTTACTAGGTAACTCATTCCATTTACATTTATGATCATAACTAATATGTATGATCTTAATTCTGTTCTCTTACATTCCTATTTAAAGTTTGTTTTCATTATTTTCTTATATATTGTACATTTTTTTCCTTAGTTGTTTCCTTTTGTTCTTCCTATCTGGTAATTTGGAAAGAAACAAACATAAAGTTTCCTTTCTGTTCCCTTGATCAACAGCATACCTGGATATAGGGTAGAGTACAAGTGTTTCTGTAAGCAACTATCGCAAACACAAATCTTCCAACACAGAGGAGAGAACTAGCTGATGAGATAGGAAAATAAAAACCCAGCACCTCATTAACATGGGGCTGCACGCTGCTCCAATGCTGTAAGTACAACCTACCAAGTCATAGCAAACAACACACAACATGTGAGTCATCTTGCTGGCAAAGAAGAGGGAAAGGAAGAATTACAAATAAATTCTTAAAAAGGGAATTTTCCAAATGATTGGTGAGATCTCCTACTGTTGGCATATATATGAGTGTGTGTGTGTGTGTGTGAGAGAGAGAGAGAAAGAGAGAGAGAGAGAGAGAGAGAAAGACACAGAGACAGAGATAGAGAGACAGAAAAGGGGAAGGGAGGGAGGATACATTAAAATATATATAGTAGGCTTATTTAAGCATTAGTTTTCAAATCTTACACGGTACCTCTGGGGGGAAAAAAGTAAATGGGCTGGTAAACAATGAATGAAAGAAATGTGGTATTTAAGAAAATCATACTGCTTATGTTTATGTTTCCTATTAGACATATTTTAAAGTTTTTTTTTTTAAATGTAAGCAGCATAGATTTGGCTAACCAATTGCTGACATAAGAATTTCAATTGGGTTCATTAGTTTGTTCTTCTTTTAATATTTTTCAATTATTTACTAAGAAAAAAGTATCCTCAAATTGTCAGTGAGCAAATAGAATTACCATGAAGCAAAAATCTTTAAATATATCTTTAAAAGAATAAAATATATATCAATTACAGTAATGGACATGAAATGTATAATTTCTATAATTTAGACTCAGTTTCTTTCTATAAATCAGAGTTGACAAATATAAAACATGAGGAAGGAATAGAACGCTCAAGTATTTTACTTCCAATCTTATTTACGTATGACTTAGCACAGTTTGATTAGAGAATAAGAAAACAAAATATGCATTTACCTAGAAGTGCCACCAGGGTTAGCAGAATCACTATGTGCTTCATTCCTTTTCTTTTATAGCAATATAGGAGAATGCAGAAAATTAATATTTCTAAAATCTAGAAATGAAAAAGATGGAAAAGGGTAAGTTATTCTACACAAAGTCTTCAAAATGGCACACTTCTCCTTTTGACTCTGCGGCAGTGCTTGCATTAGGGTTGAGAGTGACGGCGGTTCCTAAGGAAGATTATAAACATGTGAGAACAGTCTAAGGTGCCCCAGCCATCCAGAGCCAGAGCCCTCACACCACCCATCCGCCGGTGATGCCAAATCTAGATCTCCACCCCTGACCTCCCTGGGACTCCAGTCTTGTTTACCCAACTACCTATGAGACATTCCATGTGCATGTTTCATAGTCATACTACACACCACCACGGGCACACACTTGATTCCCTCCCTTCCCAGCTTGTTCCTCCTGGGGACTTTGTCCCTCAGGAAGTGGCATCAACAGACTATTGCACAAACCTAAACTCCTCCCATTTTCTCCCTCCCCACCATCCATCTCTGGACCACTGCATTAGCTTCTAAGTCATCTCTGATTGCACTCTTGCCTCGCTGTGGCCCAGCCATTCAGCGCCCAGAGGAATTATTTAAAAACACAATTTGGATAATGAGATATTTCATTCATAGAGAAGAACACACATGATATACGGCAAATACTCCTGTGCCACTGCACTCCCCTCCTCCACCTCCCCAGCAACCACTATGCTGAAGTGTGTGTTTATCATTCGCTTTCTTTATAGTTCATCACATCTTTATGCATCTCCAAACAATGCCCTGTTTATTTTTCCATGTGTTGGAACTTACACGAGTGGAATCATACTTGCTTTCACTTGCTTGCTTTTTTTCACTTTGCATTGTGTTTATGAAATTCACCCAGGATGATACATGTAGTTAAAATATAAATTAGATCCAGTCATTCCTTTGCTAAAACCTCTTATGGTTTCTTATCACATTTAGAGTAAAATCTAAACTCCCTCCTGGATTATAAAGCCCCAGGAGACTTCTCAGACCTCATTTTGTACCCCTTGCTCCTGAATGGTATGACTGAGCCAATTGCAATGGCCTTTTTTTTTTTTTTTCAATTTTAATTCTTTTTTTTCCTTTTCAGTTTTTTGCAATTCTCAGATTGCTCCTGCCTTTGGGCCTTTGCACTAATTGTGTGCTCTGTCTGGAATGCTCTTTACTGCTCTCTGCACTACTGCTCTCTGCACAACGGCTCCTCCCAGCCACTTGCAGCTCTCAGCTCCAATGCCACCTCTCTTCAAGTTCTTCTGTGACTCCTCTGATCTGACAGAGCCACCCACTCATCCTGCCACACCCCCAGCGTCAGGTCACTATGCAGCATTTGGCCACCATCTGGTGTATTTCTTGTTCATGTGTTTATGTGCTTTCTGTCTGTCTCCCCTAATGCAATGCCAGCTCCAGAACAGGGGCCTTACCCACTCTGTGTGCCTGGCACACAGTTACCAGTAAATATTGATGGAATTGATAAGCAAATCAGACCTCAAATTTATTATGGACACCTTGCCACACACACATACACACAAAGACCTAATGTCTAATACTGAGTGTTCAATAAATATTCATTGATTGGAACTCTGAAATTTTCCTACCTTGTGAAAACTGGAGTTTAATTTTGAGTTCTCAGTTTTATTTTTAACATTTTTTTTTGCAGTGCTTAAGATAACCTTAAGCCAAGCTATTAATTTTTTTTTTCATAAGAGGTGGCATCCCTGGACTGAAATTATAAATATGAAGGTTTACTTTTCTGACAGTAGACAGGTAAAAGCACCACCACCAATTTTTTTCTTAAAAATTGCTGGAGTTAGAGACTTTATTATTTCCAATATTGCATTCTTCTTACAAGGCCATCTCTAAATCAACTTAAATCCTGTTTCTATTCAAGATTTGGCTTGTTGATTTATTTATTTTTCCTTTAATCCTCTATGGGCATGGGAAGTAGCAGGCCCATATCTTTCTCATTTAAAAACCTTTTAGAAAAAAATCTTAATATAGAAGATCAAATCATCCCTTACTCTGCTCTTCTCCTGGTAAATTAAACCAATTATTTTAACTTTTCCTTATAGGGCTTATTTGCCAGGCCTTTAACTGAGTTGTGCTACAAAAGCCGTTAAACGCCTCTCCCTTTGCCGTCCCTGAAGCTGCCATCAAATCACTGGGTGTCCCAATCTCTGTGCAGCTCACCAATCATTAACAGAAATATCCCCTTAGGCTTGGTCTTAACCACAGGCTTCAATTTTCCCAAGAGACAATGAAAACAACTCACAGCGGTGTTCTGGGACCACTGTATTTGTTGCCTTAGAAAAGAAAGCTCTTCCTCTACTAACCACAGAGGGTGTTAGCTAAATCTATTAGCATGCTGATTATTCAATTTTTAGAGGAGGATGAGGGTAGTCGTTATCAGTTCTAAAATCTAGACTTTTTTTTTTTTTTTGCAAATTCCATCTCTGTGGCTTCAGATAAATAAAACATGAGTTCCCATTAACCCAGAATGACTACAGTTGCCCTGGGTTCTGCCTTGTAGCAAGAGGTCACACAGCTCCCAGGAATAACATTTTCAAGCTGTATGAATTAATGTTAATTTTTTTCTAACAACAATTTTTTCTCTCTGAAAACATCAATATTAAAGAAGCTGCGATTTGTGCAGGTTGCTGCGCCCCAGAGGAGGCTGAGTTTCTGACTGCGATGTCGATGTCAGAGGTCAGGGATAGCAACAGCATCTCCTGCGTGCCTGCCGCACACTGCACCGTCCTCGGGGCTTGAACTAATGCATTGAATCCTCACAACCTCCTTAGGAAGTAGACGCTATCTTCATTTGACAGGGCAAGAAACGCAGGCTCAGGGGGGTTAAATGATGCAGCCTGGCAGGCAGAATAACAGCCCCCAGGAGAGGTCTGCGTCCTAATGGAAGCTGCGAACATATCACCTTACACGGCAAAGGGGCTTTGCAAATATTATTAAGTTATGGACCTAAATGGGTAGATTATCCTAGATTAGCTAAGTGGGCCCAACGAAATCACATGAGTCCACATGAGTCCTTAATAGCAGAGAAGCTTCCCAGCTGCAGTCACAGGGAGAGGCGATAGAGAAAGACCCAAGCCAAGGAATGCTGCTGACCTCTGAAAGCTGGAAAAGGGAAGGAAACAGATTCTCCCCTGGAGGCTCTAGCAGGGAACACGGCCCTGCCAACACCTTGACCGCAGGCCAGTGCAGCCCGTGTTGGACTTTTGACCTGCGGAACTGTAAGATGATAACCTCGTGTTGTTTTCATCCACTAAGTCTGTGACAACTTGTTACGGAAGTAATAGAAAACCAATCCAGGTGTTGGTACCTGAAGTCCATCCAGAGGAACAGAATCTTCAGGATGAGCTTTCTGAATTGATGCAGGATTTTCTGGATCGGCTCCCTCATCTAATCAGATGTGAAGGCACCGATCACCCTGTTTTCAGTGGCCAAAAGGGCATTGGCAGTCCAAGGCCGTGATGTGGCAAAAGAATGGACAAAATTTTGCCATTGGACGCCCTGTTTCTGGTACCAAAATCTGGGCTGAAGTTTACCGCACCTCTTCTCACCAAGTTCTTTCTTGAAAGAATAGCCTTTGATATGACTTCTTTGTCCAAAAGAAATGAGCTCTGTGCCAGTTCTAAGGACAAGTTTGGACAAAGATTTGATCCTTGGTAGTCAGCTTTATTAATTCTGCATAGAGAGGCGTTCAGTGGAGTGTTGTGGAATGTGTGCCCCAGAGGGGGACAGCCTGGTTTTGAATTATGTGACCTTGGGCAAATTACTGGACGCCCTTACACCTCCGCTTCCCCATCTGTCAGATGCAGAGGATAACAGTGACGGGCATGGCAAGGGACATCGGGCAGGCAAAGGACAGAATGCAGTCCGAGCTAAGCACAGGGCTGAGCCCTCTCAGTGAGTGCTGGCTCCTGCTACCGTAGAAGCGGCCCCCAGTGCAGTCACACAAGTGCTATTTGCATTTAGACAATAAAGCAAATGAGCATCCTGCCACAGATACTGATGTCATATAAAAACATCCAGTTTTCTCCCTTCAGGTTTTTAACACCTGATGGTAGGTTTGGACACAGCTTCGCCAGAAAGGCTGACTTAATAATCAGCTTTGGGGTATAGAATTACACCAAATGACAGGCTTGGCCCCTGCCTCTGCTGATTTAATTTTTTGTCTGGCAGAGAGAAAATGAGCACTGTGTAGATTATTTTGTGAAGGATTTTATGTTTGCAACAGAGTTTTCAATTTGAATACTCTTTTGGAATATCTGGGTGGGCAAAACGGCCATGATCAAGCCTGCCAAAGAACATGAAGTAATTGAGGCTTAGGGCTACATTTCCTAATGTGGGTTCTGCAGATGTGTTCTTAGGTATTACTCACAGTTGGTCCTTCCCAGAAAAGGGCCTGATGGTCAAATAAGCCCGGGGCATGCAGGATTAACGTTAAACCTGTCTCTTTCTTAAAGGACTTCTAATTTTTAACATGCTAACAGAGGAGGCCATGTTTTGCAGCATCTCTCCAAGCTAGCTTGACCCTAAAAACCCCACTTGTTTTTGCTTTTTGGCAAGCACAGGGGCTGGGGGACTACCCATCTCTGGCAGACAGGCTGGGAAAGGCTGTTTTAGTGGGTGAGCAACAGGGCACTGCATTCTCCTCTGGCTGGTACACACTGGGCTTCTCAAATCACCTTCCTACAAAAAAGAGTACTGGGTCAGAGGAAAACACCTGTGCCTTATCTCTGCCAGGGTTCCACTTAATATAAGTCTTGAAGGTATAACAGACATCCACCTGGGCCAGGTGGACACATGACACAAGGGATGATATGAGTCAGTCTGCGATGCAATTTTACGATCCCTTTTTTGAACAATATAGAACTTATTCAGACTTTTAAATATTTTTATATATTTTATAAGTTATTTGATCAGTCCAGAAAGCCAATTCAGGTGCTGTTACTTATTCCTGGTGGGATACATAATCAGATGCATGATATGTTAGAGAATAGTCTTAATTACTATAATTATGATTTCTACAGTCAGTCATAATTTGTAGAAAAAGCACAGAATCTGCCACCTCTGAGGATTAAATGTTAATTACTTAGGTGTTTAATAGATTCAAACCAAACTTCGGCTCATGATCTTAGTATAATAAGTGATTACTTCTAGAGTCTTTAGAGATGCAACTATACGATTGATTTAATTCCAAACTAATGTAATATAGATTTATTCCTGTTAGAGTCTAGCACCAATGGCATTATTCAAATGTGACTTTATTAAGGGTTTATTTTATGCTATCTTATAAATACCTGGAATTATTTACATTTTTCTCTGTGGCATTTACCATCAAATATAATTTCATTATCTTAATATGATTTCATAGAAATATGGGTCTCTTCCAAGCCTGTAAAATTCTTGCTATAGGAATTCCTTTTTATAAGTTGGGTGTCTAATCACCACTGAATGGATAAGTGAATAAATGAATGAATGAATTTATTTTAAGTGTTGACGTTGGAAAATGACAAAATGCAATGAATTTCATAGTACTTTCTGTGGAAATATACAGTTTAATAATAAGTGGTTTTGATCTTTCCAAATATTTTCTCTGGTGTTAAAACAATACAAGATACATCACCATTAAACAATGCTGTTTATTTCCAGGAAATAAGTCTTGATGCATCTTTAATCTCCAAAGGATTCAACTCAGGCTATTAATTTTCTGGTCTTGGGCTATGTGACCCTTTTCTTACTGGATGAAGAATTTGTTTTGCCTTTAGGCAAAGAGTAATAATGTGTTGGTAGGACTTCAAGTCTGGACTATCATGAAATATTCAACAAAGTATAAAGAACAGAAGTAAACCACAGAGATGGAAATGCCTTCTAGTGCTTATAGTTGATGAAGGAAAGCTGGGATAGTTAAAGAACTGAGTGTAGTGCACGAGGAGGAAGATAAATGGGGAAGGGGTAGCCACACAGGATGACAGAGACGGGAAAGGCTAATCTGAATTGGGAAGCCCAACCCTAGAGATATAGGGAGGCCACAGGGTAAGGAAAGAGGTGGGAAGTGACAGAACTAGCATAGAAATATATTCCATGAGAACAGAATTCAGGACCATAACATATAAGGAACAGGTATTTAAATAGGCAGGACACTGTGATTGATGTTCTGATTGAGTGATTGGTCAACCCATAGTAGTTCATGCCCTGGAGAAGGGCAGGGTCTTCTGCAATAGAACAGAGAGACAGAGAGGTAAGTAGACAAAGGGACACAAGCACACTACATGGTGTGGCTGGAGTGGCTAACTGACTGGATTTCTTTTTTAGGAGGATATTTGTGGCCACGGTGTTGACAGTGAGTAGCAGGGAGACAGATTCATTAAGGGGCTGCTGGCATAGTTCAAACAAGAGATGGTGAAAGCTTGAATTAATGCAATGGCAACAGGATGTAAAACATGGTCACATTCAAGAGATTTTAAGAAATATCCAACAGGATGGGGGCAGGGGGTGGGTAATGAGGGTGTAGGAGAAGTCACATGTAACTCAGGTTCCCAACATGGGTGGCTGATGTAGAAAATATAAGAGAGGAGAGAGTTTGGAGGGGGGAAGACATTGAGTCTAGTTTTTGATATGTCACATGTGAGGAAACTGTGGGACATCTAGGCAGGAATAGTTAATAAGTAGACAGATGAGAATGTAGATCCGGAGCTTAGCAGAGGCCTAGGAAAGGGAGGTAGGTCTGCGTTTGGAAGGGTTTATAAAGGAGGATGGTGGGGTGGGCAATGGGAGCATTCTGGAAGGCCTTGGAAGAGTATGTAACGTGAATAGACACAAGGGGTTGGCGGAGGAGGAAGAGGTGCCCGAGAGCCTGGGATGGATTAGTGAGAGAGGAAAAAGAGAGACAAGGAAAATACACTGAGGAAGCAGGGAAGAAAGAGGTTCCAGGAAAGAGGATGGGCATGGAGTAAATGCTGCACAAGGTTCGAGAAGAATTTGGACCCAAAAAAGCCATTCCATTTGGCAATTTTTAGAGAGGGATTTACTAAATTGGAATGAGAGAGGAGTGAATGGGAGCTGAGGAAGGGGACAGGGCCAGCAGGAGTAGACTATCTGAACACGTTTTTGGTGGTAAATGGAAGAAGGTAAATAGGGCAGTTTATTAAAGGGTATGTAGTAAGTGAGTAATTTTTTTTAAAAATAGAGGAACCTAAGTATCTTTTTAGGCAAGAGAACAGAGAGGGAGGCTTCAAAGAGAAAGGGCCTGTAAATATTTGTGTTCTAGAGGTCAGGATTATATATCAGAAATGGTAAGATAGACAGAATTCTTGTCACATAGACTAGGAACTGCTGCTGTAATGTCCTGAGTTACACTTAGAGCAAAGTTCACCAATAAACAAGTCCCAGTAAATGCCAATGTCACACTTTTCAATAGTAGGCATATAAATTAGGATTGCACTATTTTACCTGTTTTAGTGGCAGAGGACTAGACCTGATAACTTTTTGAGGTCACTTCTAATCCTAAAGATGTATGATTCTGTGCATTTTGATTTTTTTTATTGGATTCATGACTATTTTACCCATCCAATTCTTGGTTAAATTCTCAGCTAGACTACCCCAGTTTTCTTCATACTACCTGCCCACACCAACTTCTGTAACAAGTTACACATCAACCATTTCGATCATGTTCTATCTTTAAACACCATATATAGGCACTGCATCAAATAAAATATCCCAACTAATGAGTTCAATTTTCAATATCAGCTCATTTCATTCTTTCTTTTACACGTCTTTTCGGTACTGCTATCTGCTCCCTCAGGCAATCTGCTGCATTGATCTCAACAAAAGCATTTTTGGAAACAATATTTATCTTGAATAAATCCAGCAACAAAAAATGTGACACAGATATTGCTCCTTGACCTTGAAAAAGAGTGTTTTGTTTTGTTTCACTTTGAGTTGTCCTAAAACATGTTGCTCTGGAATTTGCTGGATTTAATGTTATGGAGATTGTTACAGTGACAGGTCACCCCCAGGAAAGGACACCTGGGAAACTAAGGGTGCATCTATTGCTGACTTAGTATTTCTAATACTTTGGTATTGGTCAAGTATATTTAATGTTTAATAAGATATTAGTGCTCATAAGAAAAGGTATTAGTTCTCTAACATCTATCTGCATGTACCAGTGGTCTAGATAATATAGCTTCAGGCATAGTAACATAGTTAGACTTCTTACCACATAGACCAGGAACTGCCAGCCGACAAAGTAATACTGTACTGTTCTTGCTGAGATGGCCTGAGTTATATTTGGAGCAAAGTTCACCAACAAATATGTTCCTGCAAATGCCAATGTCGTACCTTTAAAAAAAATTGAAAAGATAAACCAAATTGAAGAGGGGCACTTAAAGCTTTTTGTTGATGCAGACATTACTTAGAGACTGATCATTACTTGTAAAAGTGCCAACAGTCCTCCCTATTAAAATACGATTCATCAAATCATCACTAGATAGCATCACACGTTTACCTGAAGGCATTACCTTTAAAGGGGGAAATGAGGCCATGGAATGGATGGGGCAGAACATAACTTCTCTGTTGCTCGAGATGAATCCTGCCCTCTTCAGGGAAGCTTTCCCCAAAGATGAAAGAACACTGTGCATATACAGATGTGAAAACACATCCAAGCTGACAGTTTCCATGTGGGTAAGTACATAATGGGTCTAGATCCATCCAGATCTAGATTGAAGAGCCCAGAGGACAGGGAAGTCCATCACATGATGGTTTGCTCTGCACTTACCTTTGGAGACTTTAAACACACACTTGGGTCATTTAAACTTTGATACTGTGGTCAGGAACACCTTAATCACTGCCATTTATTAGAGTCCTTTTGGCAGAAATAACAAAGGTGTATGCTGACTTTGCTGTAGGATTTGAATCAATCCTTTCTAGAATCAAGAATTCCAAGGTTAGCATAGTAGAAAAAAAAAAGCCCACTTCATAAACCTATATAAGGAGTGTGTTACTATCATCATTGTAACATTACTCAAAACGATGGAGGAAGGGAATGTGTGTGGGAGGGGTGGCCATAAAAGGAGGGCTGAAGGAAGGACTTGCCTTTCCAAATAACACTGAAAACTTCCTTGTTTATATATACAGTTAGCAGTGTGAAAAAAAGCTGATCTATGTAGCATTTTTCAGACGGCACACTTGAAAACATGACTTGTTTCACCCCTAAGGCCAGTGGTGTTGTGGATATATTTCAGAGCTAGCATTGACTCCAACCTGAAACAATTTGGTTTGTCTACAAAGTCTCACAATTAGAAGGCACCAGTTTCCTATTCCTCTTAACCAAATGATTTATGAGTTTAAACTCTGGTTTCTGAGAACAAATAGCATTTGCCTTTTTTTTTTTTTACACAAGCTGGACAACCGTTATATGGGCTATTGTAGAAGCTACAAGTAGGTTTCCTCTAGTGTTAACACTTTATTCTGTAATACTTTATAAAGGCATAATTTTAAAAACTATTTCTAATGACAACTTTAAAAATAAAAAATAATATATATTATTAAACATTATAATACTGTTTTTGCTATATCCTATAGGTTTTGATATGCTGTGTTTTCCTTTTCATTTGTTTTAAGAAATTTTTTGATTTCCTTCTTAACCTCTTCATTGACCCACTGGTCATTGGGGAGCATATTGTTTAATTTCCATGTGTTTGTATGGTTTCCAATGTTCCTCTTGTTATTAATTTCTGATTTTATTCCATTGTGGTCAGAGAAAATACTTGTTATGATTACAACGTTTTTGAATTTTGAAAGACTTGTTTTGTGGCCTAACATATGGTCTATCCTTGAGAATGATCCATGAGCTGAGGAGAAGAACGTGAATTCTGCAGCTGCTGGATGAAATGTTCTGTAAATATCTACCAGGTCTATAGTGCAGATTAAGTCCAATGTTTCTCTTGTTGATTTTCCGTTTGGATGATCTGCCAAATGCTGAAAGTGGAGTGTTGAGGTCTCCAAAGATTATTGTATTGGGGTCTATCTCTCTCTTTAGCTCTGATAATATCTGCTTTATATATCTGGGTGCTCCAGTGTTGGGTGTATATGTATTTAGAATGATTATATCCTCTTGCTGAATTGACCCCTTTCATCATTATATAATGATCTTCTTTGTCTCTTTTTACACTTTTTGTCCTGAAATTTGTTTTATCTGATGGAAGTATAGCTACTCCTGCTCTTTTTTGGGTTCTATTTGTATGGAATATCTTTTCCAATCCCTTTATTTTCAGTCTGTGTGTTTCTTTATAGGTGAAGTGTATTCTTGTAGACAACATATAGTGGAGTCTTGCTTTTTTATTCATTCAGCCACTCTATGTCTTTTGACTGGAGAGTTTAGTCCACTCACATTCAATGTTATTATCAGTAGTTAAGGACTTACTACGGCCATGTTGTCATTTGATTTCTGGTTGTTTTGTGGTCCTTTCTTTTGTACTTCCTTCCTATTTTCCTTTGTTAAAAGTGATTTTCTCTGGTAGTGTGTTTTAATTTCTTGCTTTTTATTTTTTGTGTATCTGTTGTAGGTTTTTTCGACTTGAGGTTACCATGAGGCTTGCAAAAAACATTTTATAACCAATTATTTTAAGCATATGACAACTCTGCTTACAAACAAGCAAGAAAAGAGAAATCTAACAAAAATTCTAGACTTTAACTTCATCCCTTGTCTCCAATTTTTAACTTTTTATTGTTTCCATCTATATCTTTTTATACTACCTATCTCTCAAAAAGTTGTGTGGTTATTTTTGACAGTCTTTTAGTCTTCCTACTCAAGATAAAAGTGATTTATATACTGCAATTACAGCAATAGAGTATTCTATATTTGTATGCTTACTGTTACCAGTGAGTTGTATACCCTTAAGTCATTTCTTATTGTTCATTAATGTACTTTTCTTTCATATTGAAGAACTCCTTTTAGCATTTCTTGTAGGATATGTCTGGCGTTGATAAAAATCCCTCAGCTTTTGTCTGTCTGAGAAAGTCTTTATTTCTCCTTCAAGTTTGAGGGATATTTTTATAGGCTATAATATGCTACGGTTAAGTTTTTTCCCTTCAGTACTTTGAATATGTCATGCCACTATCTCCTGGCCTGTAAGGTTTCCACTGAGAATTCTGCTACCAGACATACTGGAGCTCCTTTATATGTTGCTTTTTTCTTTGTTCTTGCTTCCCTTAGGACCTTTTCTTTATCCGTGACCTTTGGGAACTTATTAAATGCCTTGAGGTAGTCCTGTCTGGGATAAATCTGCTTGGTGTTCTGTGATCTTCTTGTACCTGAATATTTATATCTTTCTCTGGGTTTCAAAAGTTTGCTGTTAATATTTCCTTGAATAAACTTTCTCCCCCAATCTTTCTCTCTACCTCCTCTTTAAGGCCAATAACTCTTAGATTTGCCCTTTTGAAGCTATTTTCTAGATCTTGTAGGCATGGTTCATTCTTTTTTCTCTTCTGACTGTATATTTTCAAATAGCCTGTCCTCAAGCTCACTATTTCTTTCTTCTGCTTGATCAATTCTGCTGTTGAGAGATTCTGATGCATTTCTCAGTTTGTCAATTGAATTTTTCAGCTCAAGATATTTTTTTTTTGCTTGATTTTTTTTTTTATTATTCTAATCTCTTTGTTAAATTTCTCTGATAGGCTCCTGAATTCCTTCTCTGTGTATTGTTGTGGTTTTTTTTGTATTTTTTTCCCAGCATATTATGGGTGTACAAATGTTAAGGTTATGTATATTTCCCTTTCTACCCTCCCCCCTTGAGTCAGAGCTTCAAGCATGTCCATCCCCCAGTTGGTGTGCATCACACTCATTATGTATGTATATACCCATTCCCTCCCCAACACCTGCCCGACACCTGATAGATGTTATTCCTATATGTCCACTTATGTGGTGATCAGTTAATACCAATTTGCTGGTAAGTACATGTGGTACTTATTTTCCATTCTTGGGATACTTCATCTGTGTTCTCTTGACATTCATTGAACTTCTTCAGGATAGCTATTTTGAATTCTTTGTCTGAAAGGTGACATAACTCCATCACTCTGGGGTTGGTCACTTATACTTTATTTAGTTTGTTTGGTGAGATCACGTTTTCCTGGATGTTCTTGATACCTGTGGATGTTCGTCAATGTCTGGGCATTGAAGAGTTAGGTATTTAGTTTAATCTTCACAATCTGGGCTTGCTTGAACCTGTCCTTCTTGAGAAGGCTTGCCAGGTATTGAAAGGGAATTGAGTGCAGTGATCTAAGTCTTTGGTCACTACAGCTGTTTCTGCTCTTGGGGTGTCCCAAGCTCAGTAATGCTGTGACTCTTGCAGACTCCTGGTGGCACTGCCTTGGTGGACTTGGGTAAGATACAGGAGAATTCTCTGGATTATCATGCAAAGTCTCTCACTCTCTCCCCTCACTTTCTGTGCTAGGCTGCTGGAATTAGGGGAGGAGTGATGTGTGTACTTCCTCATGGCCACTGCAGCTAGGACTGTGCCAGGTCATACCTGAAACCAGCCCAGCCTCACCCAAACCCCATGGTGACTGTTGCCCGGCTACCTCTGATGTTTCCTCAAAGCCCAAGAGCTCTTTAGGCAGCAGGTGGTGTATCCTTCCAGGACTGGGTCCCTCCCTTCAGTGCACCTTACTTCCTTCTCACCCAGGGTGGGTCTAGAAATGCTGTCCAAGAATGAAGGCTTAGAATCCAAGGCTTTAGGAGTCTGCTTGGTGCTTTATTTTATTGTGGCTGAACTGGTACCCAAGTTACAAAACAGAGTCCTCTGAACTCTTCCCTTTCCTTTCCCCAAGGGAAAGAAGATTCTCCCTGAGCTTGAATCCAAGCTGAAACTGAAACTGAAATCCCAGAGCTCAGGCAAGTTATTTATCTTGCTGTGACTCAGTCTCCTTATTGCTAGGCATCAATTAAATCATCACACCTGCTAGGCCCCAGGAATTTGGCTTTGCAAGAGGCCAGTCTGGGCTCTGAATATGCTGGAAAGCTCACTGAGAGGTCTGATCTGACAGTTGACCCTGGATAGGTCCATCTCAAGGTGCTGACTGCCTGCCCTGAGTCAACGGCCCTCTGAGTTATGCTTATGAATTAATCCAAAGCTGAATCTCTTATGTTGTAGCCCAGAGATGATCAGAGACTGAGACTGTGTCTGTCTCTAGGAATGGAAGGGACAGGCAGGAAGGAATTGGCTGGCATCTTCTGACTGCCCAGTGAAGAATTCTCCCCATTGGTCCCAAAAGAAAACAGAAGGAAGGAAATAACTAACAGAACAAAAGAAGAAGAAAAAATAGTAGTGCTACGTTTGCTA